GATAACCTCTGGCCACATGGCCACAGACATGTGCACACATACATCTCTCCACCCCAACAAATTGCTAAACTTCTCTCATTGAGTTTTGAAGTCAAATACAAGTGTGCGGGCTGACTGGCAATCGTGCATGGATTAATTCACACTAGGCACTTAAGAATGGTCCCTGTGCGGCACATAAGGACCAGAAGCATAGTCCCAGTGCAGAGGACACGAGACAGCACAGTGCCCTGTGACTCAGCTATCAGCTGTCAGCAAGTGTTTTGAGGAACCAGTGGAACTGGTAGTCTAGAAGGTTCCTTTGAGCCTAGTAGTCCTGACCGAAGGCGTGGGGAAGTGTAATTGTGGGCAGAGACAGTGGCAGCCTGCTAGCTTTCCTAAGCCTGGACTTCCAGAACACAGCTGTTCTTGGTGTGCTGGGGACATGGGCCCTTCTAACCTTGTGTCTTTTCACTCTGTGCTCTCCCAGGATCTTCGGCTTTCCTGCCCACTACACTGATGTGTCCAACATGGGCCGTGGCGCCCGCCAGAAGCTGCTGGGAAAGTCCTGGAGTGTGCCAGTCATCAGACACCTCTTTGCCCCCTTGAAGGACTACTTTGCATGTGAATAGTTCTACCCAGGACTGGGGTCTTGGGGCTAATGCCAGCTGTTAGGAGTCACACTGGTCCTGGAAGCACCCCAGCTCTGCCCTTCCTTAGCTTGCCTCTGTGGGGTCTCACTATATACTCAGTCTTTTCTGCTCAGTGGTAGCAGAGCCTCCTGGCCCTACAGGGGAACCTACTTGTGCACAGCTCAGATCTGGCATCTTACAGTGGCCCAACATGGTTCTTATGTTTTTCCAGTTTTAAACTTTACAACCAAGCCGGGCGGTGGTGGCGCACGTCTTCACTCCTAGAGCTCGGGAGGCAGAGGCAGACGGATCTCTGTGAGTCTGAGGCCTGCCTGTTCTACAGAGCAAGTTCCAGGATAGCCAAGGTTACACAGAGAAACTCTGTACCAAACCAAAACCCAAAAACCAGAGTCACGTGACAACATGGGAGAAACTGTGCTTTGTTTCAACAGTTTTTTGCTGATTTCTAGGCTGAAAGATGACAGATGAAGAGCTTACCCTTTTGTTTAATTAAAGTCAATATTTCTCATCTGTACTTTGTTCGTCTGTGGAAGTGTGTCATCCATTCATCAAGCACAGGGATGCCCAGGGTCTGCAGGGGCTCGTGGAGCCTGAGACCTCCTGCAGCGCCCTCAGGACACTGCGTCTCCATCCCCTGGGAGCGTCTCATGGTCCTTGCTGGGAGCCCCATTGACAGTCCCTGCTTCATTTGTGGCTGCTCCAGGGCTAGAAAGGCCTGTTCAAGCCTTAAATTCCAATTCATTTTCTGTTGCTCTGACTTGCTGGGCCTAGTGGCATACCTTCAATTCCAGCACAGGGGAAGCAGAGACAGGTGGATTTCCAGGAGTTCGGGACAGCTAGGTCTACATATCAAGTTCCAGGCTAGCCAGGGCTACACAGTGATACCCTGTCTGAAACAAAACATCCCCTCCCCCCAAAGAAAAGAAAACCTCACATTCTGACCCAAAGCAACTCAGCCTTTATTTGTCTTACATTTCTAGGTCACAGGCCATCATCGAGAGAAGTCAGAACTCAAGCAGGAAGTGAAGCAAAACCATGGAGAAATGCTGCTTACTGGCCCACTCTCTGGTTTACTTAGCTTTCTCATAGAGCCCAGGCCCACTTGCCTATGAATGGCGCTGCCCATAGTGGGCTGGGCCCTCCCATATCAGTTATCAATCAAGGTCATCTTTCACAGACATTGTCACAGGCCAATCTGATCTGGGCATTCCTTGAATCGAGACTCCCCTTTCCCAGGTGACTCTAGGTTTGAGTCAAGTTGACAATACAAACTAACTAGGACATTTGGCCAAGGCTTGATTGTGACACTCATCTCCAGACTTCTTAGGAAGCTGACTAGATGATACCCATGCAGAAGAACACGAGCCCTGATTTCTACTGTTCCTCACAACTTCCGTGGGAGTCTGCTGAACCTCATTTCCCGGTGGTCCAGTTGACGTGGTGCAGCTACCTTTAGTGACCAGGATGGCTGGGAATGGCTTCTGTGATTCTAGCAAGCTTTTTAAGTTTCAAATTTCATCTATTATTATTAATTAGCACGTATGTGTGTTTAGCACAGCATGTGTGTTTTGGAAGTCACAGGACAACTTTGTGGAACGGGTTCTCCCTGGGCATCAAACTCAAATCATCAGGCTTGTGCGGTAGGTACCCTCCCCCACTGACCCATCTCACTGGCACTTAACGTAATCTTTCATCTAGACTGGTTTAGAGTGAGTTGAATGCCCAGACTGACATCATATTTATTGACCATTTAAAGATGTACTTGTTTCCTCACACTCAAAACTGCAACCGCCTCTGATGGCTCCTCCTTAGTTTGGCTGGGGCCAGCTAGCGACCAAGGTGTCCAACACCTGGAGCCCATCATGACGTGTTCCAGCCTTTAGTCAAGAAGCAGGGGCCAAGGAGAGCCTACTTCAGTTACCAGCATGTGGGACGGAGGGTAAGATGCTCACGGGGTGCACGTGGCCCTGGATTAACCTCACACTGATCCCTCTCGGCTTCACGGTGTGACATGGCCAGGGTCTCAATGGGTCTGGCCCAGGGTTAACTAGTGCAGATAGGGTGAGAAGAAGCTTTGCAAGTGGAAGGATGGAAAACCACACAGGTTATTAGAAAGTTGCCTCCGGCTAGAGCATCCCTGCTGAGGTTTGCCATGGCGACACAACTGGCAATTAGCAAAAGACTGGGCCTGTGTACTCTCCTCTCCGAGGACTGGAGACCCGAGGGACGGCTGCTGCCCAATTAAGCCATCTTGTGTACAGCACTGCACCAAATGCCAGGACAAGATGAAGCAGAATAAGCAGCTCCCTCCTCAGAACCTCAAGAGAAGAAACCGACGGGCCCTCCAGGTGAGGGGCTCTAGGGTGTCCCGGCCTGCTTGTGGGGTAGCTGGTGGAGGCCTCGAGGGGGGGGGCAGTTGTAACTTTTCTCAGGGTAGGCTAGGCTTGAATGTGAGTGACCCAGGCTGTGTGGCTGTGGAGGTGTACAAACATATTGGGACGAAGGTTGGAGCTGGCATCCCGTGGAGGTCTCTTGGAGCGCTCTCATGGGTTTGTGTCTGGGGTCTGACACACTGCTGTATTGCCTCAAGCAGATGCCTCGAGTTCTGGAGCTTTTAATTTCACATCTAACGGGCGAGAATAGCACATTCTGTATACTTTATAGGTTGGTGAATTCCATGGGCGAGATCTGGAGAAAATGCTTTGCTTATGCCTTTTAGGCAGCAAGCCTTACACTTGTAATAGACGGCATTAAGAAAACGAAAGCCATCCATCATCTTGATGTTAATGAAGATGGTGGTAATGAGAGCAACAACCAATGATTATGAATCATGAATCCTTAAAAGAGGATGGGACAGTATTGCCCAGATGTGCAGCAGCTGCCCACTGGCAACAGCAGCATCTGGTGTTGTGTCCCTCATCGCCCTCCGCCGTGTGAGGTCTTAGTGTTGTTAGGGAAGGAGCAAGGTGGCTTTTGGTGAGAGGTGGGGATCTTGTCTGAGTTTCAGGACCCGGCCCCGGGTCAGTCCGACGGCCGTGTGGTGGTGGTCGGGTGAGCACAAGGCACATGGCTCTCCCATCCTTCCATCCCTCTTGTTTTATAGCTCAGTAATTAAGTGTCTGCACTGGGATGTTCTTGGTTCCTTATTCCTCCCTGGAGCCAGATTATCTGGGTCCTCGTATTGGCGGGCCATTCCTCCATGTGAGTGTGGGTGTTTTGGTATCTTCTTTGGGTCTCTCTGATCCCCAGCTATGAACTCAGCCTCACAGGGCTGGTATGTGGCTCAAATGATTGAGTGTTCTGGAAGCATGGTTGAGAAATGCTATTGCCTGCAGTTGAGCCCTCCTAGCAACTTCTGGGAGGCCTGACTACTGCAGCTATGGGGGCAGAGAACTGGGAGAGGCCACCTCACAGGGACACACAGCTATCAGGCTTGGGTAGCAAGTAGAAGCCTGATCCCTGCAGCCAGTCTGTCTTTGCTCCTCCATCCTGCCGGCATCTCGTTTTGCTTTGCTTCAGTGGAACTTAAAATTCCCCGCAGCCCTCGGCACTTGTACAGTTTGCTGCCTTCACGCTACCTTCCCACCTTCCGGTCCCCCTGCCCTCCTTCCTCACCGCCTATCTTACTTCCTCCCTTTCTTCTTCTCCTGTCAGAATTTATTGAATTAAAAAAAAAAAACTTAAAACTAAATTTTTATATGTATGAGTGTGTGTGTGTGTGTGTGTGTGTGTGTGTGTGTGTGTGTCACAGTCTATGTGTGGAGGTCAGAAGACACTTGTGGGAGTCAGTTCTCTCCTTATGGTTGTGGGTCCTGTCTCTATCTCCCCCGTGCTGGGGTTATAGGTCACGCCCAGTTTCTGTGTGCACGCTGGGATCTGAACTCAGGACCTCGTGCTTGCTCATCAAACACTTTGCTAATGGAGCCATGTCCCCAGCCCCTGTTTTTGATTGAGTGTGGGTCTTGAAGTCTCTACACATGGTACATCACGATAGCCTGTCACCTTGGCACTGGGGAGGCAGAGGCAGGGATATTTGTGCAAGGTGGAAGATAGCATGGTCTACAGAGTGAGTTCCTGCCTGGGCTACACAGTGGGACTCCGACTCCAGAAGCAGCAACAGGAACAAAAATGTTGCGGTGTGTGTGTGTGTGTGTGTGTGTGTCTGTGTCTGTGTCTGTGGTATGTGTGTGTGTCTGTGGTATGTGTGTGTGTCTGTGTGTCTGTGTGTGTGGTATGTGTGTGTGTGTGCTGAGACAGAGTGGCATGTATCCCAGACTGGCCTTGAACTTGTGATTCTCTTCCTTTCAGCCCCCAAGTGCTGGGATTAGAGGCTGGGGCCACCATACCCCGTTTCCCAAACTGTTTCTCTGACAGGATGAAATTCTCTTTTCCACTTATTTCCTGATCAAAACGTACTGAGATGGAGATAAGCTTGGTGTATTAGTCATTTTTTTTTGTCATTGTGAGCAAGTCCATCAGGCATGTCAGGAGAACACGGTGACAGGCCTCTCTGTGGAGCTGTGAGTGTGTGGCAGTGTGTTTACAGGCCAGTGGAAGAGGAAGTTGAGAAAGGGGAATGCCAGCACTCAGCTGGTTCCTTCCTGTCCCACTTTTCTGTCCAGATCAGGACCCCAGCCCATGGGAAGGTCCTCACCATGCTCAGCAGAGGGCTTCCTTCCTCAGTTAAACCCCTTGGAAAATGTCCTGCCCTCACAGCCATGCCCAGACTCTTCTAGCTGACTCTAGATATAATCAAATTGTCACTAAGGATTAATGGGCCATGAGCTCCTCTCTCTTCTCTATGGGAGCTGTCATGGAGTGAAGGTGAGTTTTATTTCAGAAACTGATTCAGGCACCGAGACTCCCTGTGTTTCTAGGGCTGAGTACTTCACTCCTGTATTAGAAGCACCCCGGCCCCACCCCAGTAAAGAGGGTATTGCTGTGTAGCCCAGGCTGGCATAGAACTCAGCCTCCCAAGTGCTAGGATTCCAGGAGTGCACCACTGCACCCATCTCAAAGCACCTTGTCCGTTGATCTCATCCCCACATGAATGTCCTCACATCCCAAGCAGCATGGCCCGTAAAGAGTGAAATGATTGCCGGGCGGTGGTGGTGGTGGTGCACACCTTTAATCCCAGCCACTCGGGAGGCAGAGGCAGGTGGATCTCTGTGTGTTCAAGGCCAGCCTGGGCTACAGAGTGAGTTCCAGGACAGGCTCCAAAGCTACACAGAGAAACCCTGTCTTGAAAAACAAACAAACAAACAAACAAACAAAAAAAAAAGAAGAGTGAAATGATGAAGCTGCACAATTTGACAATTTGATAACTGACATGAACTGAAAGAGCTCAGACCTTACTGACACTTAGTGAGCAATTACTATGTGCTTGGTTCTAAGAACTTCACACAGGGTTGGGTAAAGCACTTGCCGCCTATTTAGGAGGACAAGAGTTTGGATCCTCAGCATTCACAAAAAAAGAAAAAAGAAAAAAGAAAAAAAAAAAAAGCCCAGTGGGCA